GGCCAGGGCCGCGGGGCCCGGCAGGGGCCATGGGCCGCCATGCAAACAGGATGCCTGCGGAGCGAGAGAGATGGCATTAGGGCAGCCAGGCTGCCTGCTCTTCCCTCCCACACCATGTCCCCTCCCCACAGGGGGTCTCTGTTCCCGTGACCCCCTTATCCAGGCTCCCGGTGATGTCCTTGCCCATGGGGGACAATGCCTGGGGTGGCCTGGGACAATGTGGCCATCAGGCCCACATATTTCCCAGAGCTGACGTTTCCAGCTTGTTAAATATTTATTTGTTGTTGGAAAAGCCTCCTGGTTTAATTAGGGGTGTCTCCGCGGGCAGACAGAGCACTGGGGGCCATGGGGCGACCAGCTTGGCCAATGCAGCAGTGCCCGGCAGAGGTCCCTGCCCTGCCTGGCACCGCGGGGCTGCCTCCTGGCATGCGTGGGTTTCCCTGGACCCCGCAATGCGGTGCCAGTGGGGCCAGTGTTGATGCATCCTCCTTGGGGCACCCAGCACGGGGCCACTGGGCTTTGGGTAGCTGTCCCTTGGTGCCCTGCTGGAGCCTCTGCTCCAGCAAAGTGTCCCAGCATCGTCCCCCGAGCCCAACTTCCGTCATCTGAGTGCATTTTCCTCTGCATCCACCAGCCCTATGTCTTCCAAGCCTCCTTGCACCAAACACCCACAGGATCCCACTAGGCACTTCAGCATTGACATGGCCCCAAATTCAAGCCCTCTCCGTGGGATCTTCCTGGTTGGGATTGCCCAAGGGTCTTTTTGCACCTGAGTCCGTTCCATCCATCCATCCATCCATCCATCCATCCATCCATCCATCCATCCCTGCTTGGTCCTTTGAGTTGGCCCCTCCTGGGGGACAATTTTCAGCCTTGCTGTCCCTCTCCTTTGCCTGCCCCCTCTCCCCAGGCCCTGCCACTTCATTACAATGGATTTTATAGTAAAGACATCAGATTGAAGGAAGGACTTGCTGGCCAGGCAGTGGCTATAAGTTATTGGATTTCCCAGCCGCAATTACATGGGCCAAGCGGCCCTTCTATTTACCTATGTAGACAACTCCATTTATTTCTATTGACATGTTGATACTGCTAATGCCGTTGGTGGACAGGTTCAATGTGGTCTGCTGTCTGTCATCTGGGGAGAGGAAATACCGATATGAGCATTAAGAGAAACAGAAACAAGACCCTGCCAGAGAGAGAAATGGGGCCCCGTGCTCTCTGGGCAGCTCTGCCCTGCTGTCCTGGCAGAAACCTGCTCATCTCTGGCTGGGAGAATTGCAGGGATGTGGTGAGTCCCTTGGGTGACCACAGCGCTTGGTGGCAGGGGACGTCTGGCAGAGGCTGGGAGGTGCATCCTGGCCTGCCCGGCTGGATTGTGCACCCATCCTGGGATCCCAAGGCCATCCGGGTCCTCCCTCTGGGCTCTGCACTGGGATGTTCCCAGGGCAGGTGCCGCCCATCGTGCACACTACCTCGGTTGGAGATCTTGATGTTTATGGGGAACTGGGAGGCCACAGCCAGGAGGTTGTGCTGCAGCGTGTGCTGCATGAGCCACTGCTGCTCCTCTGCCATCAGCGCCACTTTCTTCTCGGGAGGCTCCCCGGTCTCCAGCTTCTCGCGCAGCTGCTCCAGCACCGCTGCCTGTGACGCGGCCGCCGCCTCGGCCGCCCCTACGTGTGCCTGTGACGCGGCCGCTGCCTGGGCCGCCACTAGGTGGTGGCCGGCCAGTCCCACCGGGATGGTGATGTGGCCAGGCACCTTGGCTGCCAGCACACCATCTTCTGCAAGGACAGCCGCACTGAGCAGGCACCACTTGGCCTTGGGGCTCCGCGCGCTGCGGGCGCACGCCGCCCTCACCCACCTTTCTTCATGGTGTGTGCTTGGTCCATCTGGCTGCAGGCATGTGTGGCGATGCTGAGAGCCAGCAGGGGCATTTTGGGGGTGCCCAGCAGGGCCGGGGTACCTGTGGGTGAGTAGTTGAAGAGCGCCGTGCCGAAGCTCTGCCTCCAGCCCTCCCGCCAGTTGCTCTCAATGATGGCCTGCAGCTCCCCGGGAGAGCTCAGCGCCCGCTTCTCACATTCGTAGGGGTACAGGTACTTCATGTATCTGCACACGGGAGAGCCAGGATGAGACCCTGCACTGCCTGGCTCCCCATCACCCCTGGGCTGGGCAGGGATGGGGCAGGGATGGGGATGGCACTGGAATGATGCACAGCCCTGTCTCTCTATGGGACACCCCAGCTGTACTGCAGGTAAATGGTGCAGAGTTGGGGCTCTCCACCCACCCTTGGGGCCACCCTCGGATGCTGGCATGGGGCAAACCCCACTCCCGGGCGCTCACTGCGTGCGGAGGGTAAAGGCAGCGCTGGTGATGGAAGTAGGTAGGTTGAGGCCTTTGGTGATCTCCCACCAGATCTTCTTGTTGATGACTTCAATCAGGCCCCCCTTGTCCGTCACCAGCCGGTACAGCGTGTACAGGTCCAGCACCTGCATGCGGTTCATGGGCGTCCCTTCCAGCTGCACATGGGAGACAGAAAGGGATGTGGGGAGAAGCCACGTGCACAGAGACCCTCCTTCCCTGGGGACACGGCCTCTCCTCGCCCAGCCTTGCTGGGACCATGGCAGAATGGTCCTCACCACCATGGCCATGTGCTCTGGTCCCCCTAGCCCTGCCCTGCCCCCGAGCTGTCTGCATGAGTGGGGCTCACCCTGCACTGCAAATCTGGCCCAAGACAGAGGGTAAAGACCTTGTTTGGGCTATTTCAGAGTCTTTCTTAGTCCTCTGGTGCTGTGGGTGCTATATGGTTGCCCCTTGGCATGTCCAAGGCGAGCCTGGTCTCTGCATGCCCAAATCTGCTGCATGGTCGGAGGTGTAGGTCAGAGCATGGGATGGGAACACAAAGACCTTCCCTTATAGAAGCTCTCCCTCCATAATGCTCTGAGCTCCTTATGGAGCATCTCCCCGCTATATCTCTCCCTTGTACACTCCTCAGAGACCCAGGAAAAAGGACCACCATAAACTTTATAAAGGTTGTCACCCTATAAACACCCTCAGAAACCTCTATGGGGGAGGAGAGGGACTCCCCCATAACCCTGATATAGGAGCTCACCCTATAACCTCCCTCAGAGCCCCCTCAGTGTGGGAAGGGTCCAGCAGCACCACAGGATGGCCCTGGGGCAGGGGAACGTGTTGGTCCCCCACCCCCTGGGCACCCAAGGCCACCATGGGCAACGCCATGGCCACGGTGCCCACACACATCGCCCTCCCCAGCCTCCGAAGGCCCCCAAATGGTGCCAGAGCCCCGTGCCACGAGGGGCTGGCACAGCAGGCGCAGTGCGGTGGCAGGGGCTGCAGCAGGGCCGGAGGGGCAGTGCCCCCTAGGAATGTGTCCCATGCCGGCAGCGGCAGGGCGCTATCGAAAAGCCATCCATTCCGCCGGGGGAGGCTGTCAGGGCCGTGCTTCGCCCCTCAAACGAAGCCATCACTCACTGCCGTCCTCCAGCATCCCTAATTTATGGCCCCGATATTGGCTCGGCTTCTTTGCATAAGCCTGAAAAATGAGCTCTTTTTATTCTGCTACTGAGCTCATTTAACTTTTTTTCTTCTTTTTTTTTTTCCCTCTCTCTCTGTTGTTTGCCCTGCCTGAGGAGAGGGAAGATGAGTTTCTCCTACCAAGAAAAAGGCAGAGAAACTCCGACTTGCTCTGTCCTGGGGTTCAGGGGCTCCGGGCACAGGCCCCGTCACCTCCTCCCTGCGGTTGGACCCCAGACCCTGATGTGAGGGTCTCCCACCACGCTGGATGGTGAGTTTGTGGCGCCTCAGCCCAGAGCCGCACATCCCTCTGGAGGAGGCACTGTGGTGGCTGCTGCTTGTCTGCAGGTTGTCCCCAAAATGGGATGGCCCCTGGAGTGGGGGCAGCAGCAAGCACAGTCCCATGGAGGTGCTGGGGAGCGCCCAGACATCCCCCATCCCAAATCCCTGCCCCTCACCTGCCTCCGCAGTGACACAACCCCTTTATCCAGATTTATGGCTCCGGACTTCTCCCCTCTCCCCCATCCCCAGGGGGACAGTGGATGTGAAGGGCGGGCCATTAATCTGGGGGCGGCTGGGGCAGGGGGGCCGGGGGCGGCGGCAGGGCCCTGTGCTGGCCGTGATGGGGGACGTGGCCATGAAGAGCCCCAGTCTCATCGAGCATGGGGCCCTTGTGCCACCTGCATCAATGCTGTGCCACCCCTGAAGACCCTGTGCCACCTGCAACAACCTTGTGCTGCCCCTAAGGACACTCTGCAACCCTTAAGGACCCTGTGCCACCCCTGCGGACCCCCAGCAACCCCCAGTGACCCTGTGGCACCACCACGGACCCTGTGCAACCCTTGAGGACCCTGTGCCACCTGTCCTGCTGCGCGGAGCCCATGTGCCCTTTCCGAGTGCTCCTGCTGCCGGCACGGGCACTGATGGTGCCTCGCACGCACCTCTGCTCCGAAATCTGCAGGCAGGTGACAGAGCCCTGGGAACCGACCGTAAAACCTCTGAGAGCAAACAGTGAAATTCCTCTGCCCAGCAGTGCCCCCAACTCCCACTCTGCCAGGGGCCGAGCTGAGAGGGCTGCCTGTCCCCTCTGGTCCCCAGGGGCTGGGGTGGCCTCGGGGGGCAGCGGGGGTGAGGAACAGCCCCCGTCTGCTGCCCTCCCTGCTGCGCTGCCCGGCACCTGCTTAATTAGCCCCGGCCCCCACTGACAAGAGAGTTAATTAGCTCTGGAGAGAGAGATAATGAAGGAGTGGAGCAGTCCATAAATCTTGTGCCTCGCGTGCTGACGGATGCGCGGGGGGCCGGCAGCACTCCCACCTCCTGCTCCTCGGAGGGCCGTGGGGCTGGGCAGCCCCCCAGGGCGGTGAGTGGGCACTGGCACCCCGGGCTGTGCTGTGCACGAGGGCCTGGGGCACCAGCCCCCCGCTGCAGCCCTGAGTCTGTGGGGTCTCAGACATCACCCCCCTCACACACACACATGAAGCCTGTGCCCAAAGCTGCCTCATGTCACTCCCGAGGGGCAAAGCTCGGGGGGCAACTGCCACTCTCTGCTGGCTCTCACCCCACGCGCACCAAGCCCCACTGCTCTCCCTCGGCTTTCCCCCGTTAATTAGCTAGGCATTAACCTCTGCCTGGGGTTTACTGGTTAACCAACGTCATGTTCATTAATCCACACACCGGCAAAAGGCTCTAATGAATATGGCCGGCCGCGTGCTCACACTCAGCAACTTTTAATTGCCGCTGGCCCAGCCGGGGAGGGCGAAGGTTAGAGCATTTATCGAGTTTCTGGGAGCTGCTTTGGCCCTCCTGCACTGATAGCAAAGATTTCCGATGCGGCCGGGGCGGCTGGCACAGCCCTTAACCCCTGGGCGCCTGTGGGGCTGGCGCTGCTCCCCGTGTCCTTGCAGGCACCACTAATGAGCCCTGCTAAGGGGCAGCACTAATAGACATCGCTAATGGGCGTCACGGCTGAGATCTACCCCATGGGATCTACCTCGGGGGCTTGCAGAGACCTGGAGCAGCTCAGTGCCCGAGTGGGACTCGTCACGGGCGCACCCGGGTAGCCGTGGGCAGGGGCTGGGTGTCTGCAAGCGCCCCCCCCGCCAAGCCACCCACCTTTACCTCTCTTCTGCATGAAGCCAAAGAGGTCGTCCAGGAACTCCTTGCGTTTCGGATCCTCGTCCAGTTCGTATTGCTGGGGGCAGGAGGGAGAGAGGGGTCAGCGCCAGCAGCTCCCAGCGCACACGCGGGTGCAAGGGGGCGTGTGCTGGACACTGATGAGCACGAGCCTCTGAGTGCCCCTTAACCGAGGAGCCCCTGGGATCACCCTTCTGCTGCGGGTGCCTGGGGCAAGCGTATAAGCGTGTCTGCAGATGTGCATGCTGGTGCATGGACCGGTACGGATGCACGCGTGTCCTGGTAGGTTTGTGCACATGTGGGAGCATATCTAAGTAATGG